TTTGATTCGGAAACCAAGAGGCACACCGCATCACCCGGTACTTTCAGACCCCTTGAATCACATTTTACGTTGGTTTTAGGTTGGAAACGGGATTCTCTTGAAATTTGCGCTTCACAGCTCAAGGATTTAAGTCTCTGAACAAGTTTTCGTTTTTGAGGGTGTCCTTCCTACCTTGGTTTGAAAGGAAACCAGAAGGAACCCCACCATTCGTTCCCTATTTTGAGACGCAGCGGGGAATCACGCGAAACTACTTACATGGATGCCGCTCTTTTGACACTGTTGCGGACAGGTTTGATGAGCCTGGGCCAGAAAAGCCTGTATCAACAGGCCTCTCGCCATTTTCTGGCTATTGAAAGATGTATGCAGAAGGCCATCTGTCACTTATTGAGCTTTTGCTTATGTGGCAACTGTTTGCGCCACAAAGCACATCTGCCTCAGGGAAGGGAGGGCGGGACCGAAAAAAACTGTGGCAACATGCAATGCGAGCTGAATCCATGCTTGTCATGGATGCCGCTCTTTTGACACTGTTGCGGACAGGTTTGATGAGCCTGGGCCAGAAAAGCCTGTATCAACAGGCCTCTCGCCATTTTCTGGCTATTGAAAGATGTATGCAGAAGGCCATCTGTCACTTATTGAGCTTTTGCTTATGTGGCAACTGTTTGCGCCACAAAGCACATCTGCTACTCTCAAGGTTGGCCCAAAGGCGGCGCAGCTGCAAAAGGGGCCATGAGCGAGGCCGCATGGCCGGCCAAGTTTCGAATTCGATGGCGCGAGCTCTCTTTGAGCCGCGCGAAAAACATCTGACCCGTAACATCCTGAATGTAGTGTTCCAAAGTTGCCTGTTGGCGCCACCGGCCTCTCCACATGACTTTCTGCAAATCCTCTGTCATGTGAAAAAGCCATGTAGCACCCGATCCGCGCAGGGCTTTCGGCGTCACGCCGTTGTCACGCTCAGCAACGGGAAGACCCAAGTTGCTGAACACATCGTTCCAGCGGGAGCGAAATTGAGCCGCGGAAGCTGCAAATAGCGGCGTGCCCGATGGTAAGTCACGAAAGAGCCCCTGCAAAAATCGGACAGTGGCAGCGTCAGAGATTTTGGCATGTTGCCGCTGCAAAAATCTGCGCGTTTTGGAATTCAGAATGCAAACGTAGGCCACGGCCTCATCAGAAATCATATCGCATGGCAAAATCAAATGGCACCGCTGCAGCGGCAGTATCTCCCCCGGGCGTAGCAGGGCATGAAAGCCTATGAGGATGGCAGCTGCGAAACGAGGCCAACTCCACAGAAGGCTGACTGAAACTGCGGCCCGAAGAACAACTTCGGGGAAAACCATGCCACGCTGCACAGGCTCCACTTCCTCCCAACGCGTCAGCAACTTCCAGGCAGCACTGAAGAAAGGGCGGAAATGCCCAAAACGATCAGCTGTGCTGTTGATGGCTTCTGCAAAATCATACTTGGAGCGGCCCGTGTAAAACAAGAACCTCCCAAATGCTTGGAGCGCCATCCCCAGCAAGAGCCCTGACTGACTGATTGCTGCAAAATCGGCATCCAGGGTACATGAAGTCCAACCGACCAGTTCATCGTGCAAACGGTCACGCCGACAACGAGTGGCTGGGCGAAGGCCAGCAGTGAGAGCGAGGTCCACTTGCTTCCTGGCCTCACACGCCACGCGCTTGCTTCGGGGCATGGATCTGGCCAGACAAACGAATGAGCCTGGCCCAGCCACTTAGAGGCCAGAGCAATGCGTCAGCAGCCCGCACGGCATCAAAAGCAGCAAGCTGGCCAGACTGCATCGACAGCAGCCATGCAGGCGCATGCAGGGCGGGCGCCCGGAGCCGGACACCGCGTGAAGGGTCGTCAGCAGGATTGTGTTTGCTAGGAATGTGGATTCCAGAGGGGTACAGGTTTGCACCAAGGAGGTAAGGAATGACAGACCCCAGGTAGCAATTCAAATGTTGGCTGCTGGATCTTCCTTTTGCGTTGCACCCTTGAACAACCTGGCTGTCCAACAAGACACAAAACCGGCTGCTTGGCGCAACTTTGGCCATGTGTTTGATGAGGCTGCGGTATGCAATCTCCTCGTTGACATTAATGTGATTGTGCTTTTTGAACCTGTATTGTATGAGCGTCTGCCACCGGAGGGAAGACGCAAGCTCAACAACCCACTTGCACTGCCTTACCTTGCTGCGGTGGGGTCGGCACGCCTCCTTGTCAATTACCGCAACATACTGCTGAACCATAGCATGCATTGCTGGAATGGGGTAGGCCATAGAAAAGTCTGCCAAGGCTTGTCCAGGTTCGGGTTCTGTTCCAAACACATGCAAGCAGCTAGGTCGGCAACAAGCTTTGAAAACGGCAATGGTCTCCGGCGTAAAGGTTTTGCCAAGGCGAAGATGTCTCCCTTTCAGCGGGCACCGGCAGCTGTCTGACAGCCGAAGCAACTGAGGGCAGTTGACTAGCCAGCGCGTCCCTCGTTCAAAGGGGGTACCGTAGTTGCAAAACGGAAACTGTAAACTGTAAAAGCCTCGAGCACGCAGACGTCTGAAAATATCCAGGTCAAACATGAGAGAGTTGCGAGGTTGCTCAACTGAAGCCCAGATGCCATACCGCGCGCACAAATGTAATAAAAAGGCAGTGTAAATTGCCAGGGTATTTCCCTCTCTTGTAGCGCGGTCGTGGACGCAGAAACCAAATGGGCATTGCTTGGATCTGAGTGGGGGACAGTTCATAGTACCAAAAGTGGAGTGCGGTGCGCCAAAATGAAATATACGAACCACTCGTCTGCATATCAAGCCGACCAAGAAGAGTATGGTGGATGGAACCAGGACATTTTGGGAAAAGGGGTCCCGTGTCACTTCATACCCATCATGAACACGAAAGCCAGCAAAACGGAAAGCTGCAGAAAAGTTGCCGTGGCCCTTAAAAACTTCTGCGAAATCCCAAAGAAAACCTTCAGCAAGAGACTGAGGGAGAGAACTGGCGGTGGTAGGGGCAGCAAGTTCCTCCCCAAACTCCTTCAAGTAGGCGCCCAAAAAGGATTCTTTGTGAGTGTAAAAGCCCTTGTGGTCAGCAACACGCCAGAGCTCAAGCGAGGCTGCCGCGCCAATCTGCGCCTTTACGACTCCAGCTCCGTGAAGAGAAGCGTCGGTTGCAAAAAGACAAGGAGCAGGGCGAGCACGTAGATCAGTTTGCATGTAAGGAGCAAAAGCTGTGAGCAATAATAACTCTTGCTTTGCAATGTGGCTCAAAACAAAAACCTCGTGCTCGCCAAGCTGCTTTCCCTCATGAAAAACGGTATTGAGCAGGCACATCAGTGGACGTCTGTAAAGCAAGACAAATATCCAGCACCCCACCAGCGTTTCCAGGATGTTTCTCGTGCAGACCCCAAGAAGAACAACCTCGAAGGTGATTTCGCACAACATCAAAGTTTTCAATCGTGGGGCAGCAACACAGCCAGCAACACCATCAATCTCTGCTCCCAGCATGACCCCCTGATAGATGTCCCGCTTCACTTTGCTGGGGGAGACGCGGAGCCCAACCGCAGCATATTTATCAAGCGCCCGGTCAAACAGAATTTGATCAAACCGAAGTCTGGGGGTGGGCTTGCCGCGATCCTGCTTCGGAACAGCCGCAATGACGCCAAAGTCATCAATACACAAGGTCTGTAGAATCGCGGAGCGTGGCACCGGCGCTCTGTACTGCACCAGTTGCGAGGGCAGCAGAGCCCCGGCTCGTTCTAAAAGGTTTTTGTGAACATGCTGAGCGATCTCAACAGCCAAGTTGGAACCCATTGGAAGTGAACGAAAGCATGCCACAACCCGTTGTCCTCGAAGCTCTGGGCGCCAGGCGTTCCACCCTTCAAACTGTTCAGCCGGAAAGACAGTGTGCATATGGTTGCGAGCTGCGTGGCGATCAGTCACTTTGAAACAGTAGTAGAAGTCTTGCAGATCACTGCAACTCAAACATAGGTTCCTGTCAGGGCGTAGGTGCACACCACACAACAGGGAACCGTGAGACAGAGACTTTGTGGCTTCCGATGGGCAAAATGTTCGTGAGTTCTCCGGCACGGGATTGATAATTTGGCGGTCTTTGCGATCATTCTTGAACACGGCGAAAACGCCGCTCCGATACTTGAAATCGGACTCCGCCTCTGAAAGCAGGTGCAAACTTCCGACATTGTCCCACTTGCGTAGCAGCTCAAGAAAGCCTGCGCGGGAAGCTTGAATTCGAGCCGCGCGTGGCTTGGGCCACCTCTCCTCCTCAATCCGAAGCAAGGCAGGGTCCATAAAACCAGCTTTCAGCAAAGGGTCACTAATCAAGCCTTCAACATCAAACGTCGGAGCATGTTCAAAAACCAAACGGTCAGGATTGAGTGGCACTGCAGCTGATGCGTTGCCGCCTGGCAACTTCCCCAGCACGCAAGGACTGTTGCGCACAGGAGGTCCCCAGTGTTCATCTGATGGTCGCTTTCGGGAGTAAGCAGAAAAGGAATCATGCAAATCAACAGCCTTGTTCTTCAAATGAACCAACTGATCTTCTAAACCTTTGTACTTCTGAGCTGCGCGATCAAGTCCGCTTTTGAGCCCCTTGCTCAAGCGGAGCCAAATTGCGCCCTGCCTCTCCAAGCGGGCAATCATGTCAGATTGCGCGCGGGAGAGGGGCAGCACAGACTCGTGAGGCCAAGTCTTCGGTCTTCCCAGAACAAGCCAATTGGACACTGCAAGGAATTGGCGTACCAATTGCCGCACTGACGACCGAAATGACCAACGAGCCCGGCGCCGGCCTGCCAAACGTCTCAGAGGACGACCAAGCAGGGGAGGGATTGCGCAGGGCCACAACTCGGATGAAGGCTGCGAGGCAGCCTCCCTTGACGGTAGTGTCAAAGCCTGCCGAAGGAAATCGGCAAGGACTGTGTGTGAAAAGGTCACGTGCTTCATCCATCTGTGCAGAAATGAAGCACCACTGAGAAAAACGTCTTCATGCCCAGGGAAATCAAAATTCATTGGCTGCCGTCTCCCTGAGCTTCTGCCTGCTGCCGCTTCTTTTGCTTGCCCTTGCCTCCGCTCTTTGCTGGTGGCTCTGTGGACCGGAAGGCTTCGTGCGTTCTGTAGGTCCGCTCCGCGATGCTGTCGCAATCCCGCAAGAAAGCAAGGTTGGTCGCGATCCACTTCGGGTCGCTCAGCTGCCCATGGGGCAGGTCTGCTCGAGGTGCGCGGCGTCCCTCCGTTTGGGAAAATGGTGGATCGGGTATTCCCGTAAGCAGCCATCCCAGCCGAGTGTGCCCTTGCTCGTGCGCAACCTGCTCGGCAAAGCACAGCCCGAGACCTATGGTGGCTTGCAAGGCAGCTCCTTCCCCTCGCTCCGCGTGCTCCCAGGCTTTGCACAACAGGAAGCTGAAGTACGTCAGGGTCTTGTAATTGCCAAGAGGCACTGTCTCCTTGAAGTGGGCGTACATCTGCTCGGCAGCCGGCTGCACAACTTCTGGGTGACGACGGGCGGCTGCTAGGCGCCGCCTGATGGCATGGACAACTTGGTCGGGATGCCGGTCGAACTGATTCACCAGCACTTGTCTGGCTGCCATGCCCCGCACCCCTGCAATCTTGGTGCCAGAGGCGTCGCAGTCGTCGGCGCTGCCGCCAGAGAGCAGAGTGAGCGGATCCCGCTCCTTGAATTCCCGCACCGACAGCTGTTGTAGAATCTTGGTTTGGGCTTGCAGCAGCTGCGCCAGCACTCTGTCCGGAGTTGCCGCCACCTTTGGCACCTCGCCCACCGGCTCCTCGTCTGCCTCGGACCCATCTTCCGCAGTAGCTGCACCAGCGCGGTCCACGGAAACCAGAGGGCGCTGCGCAGCCGTGCCTCCTAGATCGCCTTTGCACCTCGGCGCTGGGCCCACAAGTCCCATGAGCCGTTCGGCCGCACGGCTGGGCAGCCCGACCCTTTCGGCTTCGGCAAACATCTGAGGAGCCGCAGCCGGCAAGGCAGCAGGCGGCGTTGCAGTTGCAGGTTTTTGCTCCAAGGCCGCCAGCCTGCGTTCCAGCCCGCTCACGGCAGAGACTTTTGACTGCATCCCCGCGAGCATGTCTTGTATGGATTGCTGTTGCTGCAAAAGCTGTGCCAAAACGCTGTCTTGCTGAGCATCCTCTGCGGGGCGTTCGTCTGCAGTCAAATACACCTCCAGCCTGTCGCCGCCAGCATTGATAAAACTGCGCGCGATCTGCAGAGCCGAGGGCCCATGAGGCCACACAACGTGACCTCGCACGGTGCCGAAAGTCACCACAGCATCGTCGGTAACGTTGCTGGGGAGCTCGGTGAAAAGCAGATCCTGCCCGGATGCATCCATGTCGATCAAAACGACATTTAGCTGACGTCGTCCGGCACCCCCGCGCTGCCCAGCGAACGCCACGACAGCCTCCAGATATGGGCCCCATAGGTCAGGAAAACCAGCGCCCTCAGCCGCTTGCAAAGCCTCTAGGGGAGCAGCGTCAGCAGGAAGACACAGGATGAAGCCCGTAGAGACAGACTGCACAACGAGAGCGTGCGCGGCGACCTCCTCGTGAACGAAGAACAACTGAGTGTAGCCACCGCCCTGCTGAGCAGTGGCAATCTCTTGCAGTGATACCACCATACGTTTCTGGACAGTGCAGCAGCAGGTGAAGAAGAACCGGTCGAGGTGGAGACTTCTGGCAATTGCGGCTCACTCCGGGCAGTCACGCAGCGTAGCGCCTTAGCCGGTTACCTGCAGGCAAACTGCGTACAGGCGTTTGCTCCGAGAGAACTGCCAGGAAAGCCACCCACACTGAGTGCCTGAGTCTGGGTGACAGCGCAAAAGCAGTCGCCACGGAACCAGTGGCAAGTCCGCAAAGCCAAGCCAGCAAACCGATCAGCAGCAGATCTGTAGTCCGTGCAGGGCACACAACGGATTGCAGCAGTGAGGGAAGCAAGGCTAGTTGGCTCCACATGAACCGAAAAAAACTGTGGCAACATGCAATGCGAGCTGAATCCATGCTTGTCAATCTCAAAGGCCATCACTTACCAACCTTTTGGGTCCAAATCCTTTGGGTGCGGATTTGGTTTTTCCGGATTTGTTGGGATTTGTTTTTATTGTTTTTCGTCCGGGCCAGGAAAATGTCGTATTTTACAGCATTTTCTCGCGAAATTGACGCATTTTACACTATAGCCAACATCCCCAGCATCGTTTTCAACATCCCCGGCAAGTCCGACCAACATCCCTAGCATCACCAACAAATCGTGGGAAACATAGTCAAAAACGTAGATGGCGGGCTGACGGGGTCAAAAAATAATGATAGCATCCTAACATAAATACCCCTCCCTTCTCCAAATCCTTTGAACAAGTGGTAAAAACCAACAGCTGGGCCTTCATCGAGCTCGAATAGGCTTTGTGAGTGTGTTTCTTCGTTCCGAAAAGGAAGAGGCATGGCATGAAGGAGTGTAGGGAGTTGCGAATGGCACCGGAGGCGCTGATTAAATGCCCTGCTCCGGTGAATCCGCCAGAAGCAGTGAATGAGGAGCAGGTCACCGGAAAAAAAAAGAAGAAAAAAATCTGCGGACGCCGCGGACATTTTTCGTTGCCCGAGGTTCGGCGGCTGAGATGCTGATCACCGCGACCACGAAGACCGTGAAGGCCGTGGAGAAGCGCAGAGGCAAGTAGCAGAAGCTGGTGGACACCTGGTCGCTGTCTGCTGGGTGTGGCTCAAAATTAAACGGGGGGGGGGGGGGCAAACCGCAGGTTTTGGTCCATGTTTCCACTTACCAGGGCAACCCATTTTGGAATTCCGGTTTTTTGAGCCACAGCCTGCTGTCTGCGTTAAGGCTGTTGCTCCCTTCTTGCACCCTGCCCAAACCCTCCTCAACGTCTTGCGGGCGCCTCAGGCCGCAGTAGTATCTGTTCAGAAGGCACTAGATGGTGCACAAGCGTACTGTGCCCTACTGGTTGCCCAGTTTAAACCTGGCTTTAGTCAGATTCTTCACTTTTGGAGGGGAACACCCCCCATACTAATAAAGCAGGCTAGGCCCACCTAGATAGCCAAGTTGCCAGTCGCTGTTGCTGGTTTTTGGGGGTGAAGTGGATGGAACAAGCAGCAACTGGCGATCTGGGCAGCGGGGTGTCATGGTGGGGATTCACCACTTTTGGCCCCCATATTGATAAATCGGGGGTTATTCATCCCGAGGTCAACATGACCTAAGACCTTGGTTGATGTTGTGCCCTCTGCAAAAAGTGAGTAACTTTTTGTGGGTCCAACGGACAGTTCAACTCTCAATAAGTTACAGTCCAATGAGCCAGCCAAATCGCCACAAAGAACCCAATGGCAGGTTGTCATGCTCGGCTCGGGTCTGTCTCTCCCCAGTTTGGTGGAAATGACATCACCCAACTGGGGCCATGTACAGTGAGTTTCCGTTAAGCGGGGTGATGTCCTAACGGGAAATGAAACAACTAACAAATACTACAGCTCGGTTCCCCAGCAATTGAGTGGTTGATCCAACTGGGTTCCAACGGTATCCAAAATGGCTTGCCCATGGCACGGACGATCAAGCCAGGTACAAGTCTTGACGTCCGCTTTCATGTCCAAAGTCTAAGAAGGGCGCCAGCATCTCCGCCAGCGCTCCCGTGGAGATGTTCTGATGCGGGGCCTTCTCGCGGAAGGCCAGCAGGATCCAATGCCCACACAACAGCGCGGCCCAGCCAACTTCCAGCGAGACCTGACAAGGAAAAGCCGGGAAAAGGGGTTTTGGTGTTGAGAAGCTTCGGTGAAAACGTGAGGACATGGGACATCATGGTGCAGTCAAGTGGGTGGAAAACACCCAAAGGTCCCAAGATGTCAACTCCAGATGGATGGACAAATCGGGATTTTGAGAAAACCAAGCCTATGCCGTGGTTGAAACACGGTTCTCCTTGAAATTTTCTAGGGATTGGACCTTGGCGTTTTTACAACCGTGGCGGTAAAACATTGAGATTCCTCTTGGCTTTCCTTTGCCCCAAGGGTACCTTCGCCTCCAAGCACGGTATACCCAAATGCCCGGATGGAAACTGATACTGCAAAACAACGAGAAGTGACAAGAACTTGAAGTCACATCGCGACTGAAGCCAAAGGACTGCGTCGGCTCCAAACCGCATGTCGACGGCAGGGCCAAGTGATTTCACTGAATGCAATACGGAACTCAGAAGCCTCACGGAGTTCCGTGAAACAAGGAGGATCGCCTTGTTTCGTGGGTTTTTGAAGGGAGACTCATCCCCGAAAAGTGGGCGCCACTGGGCTGCCAATGGAGTTTTGATGCCGGGAACCTTGTGACAGACAACCCACGATTGCAAGGCCGACCTTGTACCCCTTCTATAGCGGCTACATAGTGGTTGTACGTTCCATTCACCCTTTGGGGGGAATGGTTTGACACCAAAAACCGTCGTTCCGAATGCGCCAAAGTCAAGTAAGCTCACCGCGCCTTGCTCTTGCAGCTTGCGATCAGCATCAGCATACAGGCGAAGGCACAAAGCAGCAAGTTGCCAGCCTTGCGCGAGGAAATCAGCGACAGATCCAGATTCATTCCCTGGAGACTGGACAATTTGCACGAGCGCAGCTAAAGATCCAGATTCATTTTCTGGAGACTGGAAAGGAGAAACATCTGTGTTCCAGATCACGTTGCAGATTACATCAAGTCCATTCGAGCTTGGAAGCATCCGTAGCAAAGCTGTAAACTCTTAGTGATCGCACTGGACCCTGGCTCTCGCTTGATACTATTTGTTTCAACCGCAAAACAACAACGGAACCAGGGATCCATGTTGGACGGGGAAGTCGAAAGGAATCATTTTGGGTGACCCGCTGAATGGGTTCTAACAAATGGGTTTAATTAAATACGAAAGAAAACAACAAACAATCGGCGTTGAAGGGGTCCCCTTTCTTCCATTGCTAGCGCGCTCGCAGGCCGTGGGGCAAGGAGGCCGATGCAGAAGTGCGTGAGGGTGTCCGCATGGTCTTTGATAAAGAAGCCTTCTGCCACCCTGAGAGCGAGAGAACCACTCGGGCAAAACTTGCCTCCAGTGGGTAACCTCAACATGGAGTACACCAAGCATCGCTGTCCAAAAGGACCGCCGCACTGCCATGTTTATCGGGAAGGTGTTTAACTTAACAGGTTGATGTCCCAAATGGGAAGCTCCCCCCCCCTGCGAAACGCATCAACCCCTTTATGTGCTTGCGAAGGCACTCAACTCTGGAGTCGACCCCAGGCCCATTTCTTGTCTTTCTGGTGCTCGGCAAAGGGAATGACCTTTCTAAACCATCCAACTGGTGCCTTCCTTCAAAGCTTCATTCCCACACTCCATGCTGAGAACCAGAAAGTTGTTGCATGTCCCTTTCTTCCCGACTCGGCCGGCCGCAAGTGAGTTAGCACGGCAAGGCGCCAGAAGGGAAGGTAGAAGCTGAGCAGAAACGCGCCACTTGTCAGCCTGGAAAGGCAGGACACCCTCACCGTCACCCGGGTGCCCCTGATTTGAGTGCGCCCACTGGGGTTATGGAGCCGACACGGGCGAGCCAGCAGTGAACACCAGAGCCTGCGAGTATGCCATGGATCAGCATTCAAGGGAGCTCATGCTAGAACTGGACAGGCGCCAAATAGCCAAAAACGGGCTCGGGTCCATCCGCCTGGCTATGGTCACTTGAAGAGGCTCCATTTCGGATGTGTCATGTTTGCCCTTGAATACCCCCGTAATCCAGATCACTTTTCTGGGTGACACCCTGCATTTTCTGTAGCTTCAACAGGATGGTCCCAACAGCCGGGAAAAAACTGGCGCTTTCGGGCCTACTCTTCGCTCTCGTGTGCTGCAGGTAAAGAGCTTCTTGCTCTGGAGGAAACGAAAGTTGCCTGAGCCAGACATCGCCGAAGCCTGCGTACGCCCTGCTTATCTGTTCACGTGGAACCTGCGCCGAATGACTCTGTGGGTCAAAAATAGGCACCCGAACCCTGGTACATGGACGATTTCATCTGCAGTCCCCTGGCTTAATTCTGACCCTCAACGGGGGGGGTCTCTCCGTTCCAATGCGCGCGAGAGGCCTTCCAGTGCCGAAAAGCGCTGGGCAGAGGCGAGCGGAGAATATCTTCTTAGGAGACAAAAGAGCCACGGTCAATGTTTACTGTCTACGGCAAGGAAGACATGGAGACGTGCTCAAACAGATCTGTGAGATAAAGCGGTCGACACCCCCAGCATCACGAGTGATTTAAAGGGCTTACTATATAAATGTAGCTGTCAGTTACATTTCAAAAATCAGCAAATTATTTTCCGCTTGCTGAAGGTAGATGTCGCCATACTTTGCAAAAGAAGCTGTATCAGGTTCTCAACAACAATGACAACCTACAGATTCCCCATCCTGGTTGGGGTAGCCCGTCAAACCAGGTAGTAGAGCCACCTACTAAAATGGCCAATAGGACCCTGTCTGCTCAGGCCAGCCGTTGAATATCTGCATCCCAGCGGCAAGGATCTCAGAAAAGCCATCGCCATAAAAAAGTTGGCCTGGCGGGGGGGGGGGGGGGGCGGGGGGAAGCGTTCAATTCATCGCGGGAGAGTGGCGGCCTAACGCCGAAATCGGAGCCGAGAGAGCTGACTCCAGGAAAGGGATCTGGCAGAAAAATCTGAGCGTGTTGCATGAATGCCTTCCGCTCCCATTGGGACACAATGTCACAATGTGCAGAGCTAAGCAAACCTGCAACTTGCGGAAGATACCAAAAAACTGGGAAATCTATGTTTTCTCAAAAAAGCTAGAACAACACAACCCCAAATCACCGTTTCTGATGAGCTCGCCAGTCACATCGATTATCCATATCCCGAGCCGTCGAATCGAATCCGGTGCCTGCTGCGATGCAGCAGATGGCAAGGCTTCAATCCCTTATGGGATATTTGGGTGTGGCTCAAAATTAACCAGGAGGGGCAAACCGCAGGTCTTGGTCCATGTGTCCACTTACCAGGGCAACCCATTTTGGTATTCCGGTTTTTGAGCCACAGCCATTTGGGTGTATTTTGGGAGACCCCGTTCGAGGTCCCCCACCCACGGCTGGTCTGCTTCTCTTGGACGCTTGTTTGTCACTGGTTTCGCCGAGTTGGCTCGCAGAGTTGGCGGCTGGGTCCCATGACCAGATTCTCATTGAAACTGAGCCAGTCAGCTGCAATCGGACTGATCCATCGGGCGCCCCTTTTCAAACGTTCCCCTGCAGTCTAATTCATGCGGACCGACCTGGGGCGCGTTTTCTGGGATGGCTTTCTTGCAGTCAAGAACGAAGATACCGAGAAGCTTTCACACAGGGGATGGTTAAAACTATAGGGACCCGGGTGCCGCCTTGTGCCAAACTCAAGCCAAACTGAAGCCAGTTGTGCCCTGCCAACCAACACTCCATCCAGAACCGAGCCCGATCCAAGGCAAGGCTGGCACTGTGACCACCATCCACGATCGCATCGATCACCGCCTGCCTCACCTGGTGGAAAGTCTCGCTTCGACTTGGCTTCTCACCCCAGTTCGGACCTGGAAACAAAAGCTGATCACCTTGTGCCAGCTCGAAAATCGAAAACGGAACTAAAACCAGATCCGGTGAGATCCGGTCGATGCGCGGAACCTGCACCTCAGGCTTTAGCTCTTTGAGTGTTCCCAAAACCTCCGCCCCGCGGGGGGCGGAATCCAGGCGAGCCAAAGACCTCTCAACGCAGATGCGATTTGGGACCTGACATATTCACCCTCACCTGACATCAGCTTGGTTTGGACCCAGACATGCCGTAACTTTGATGGGGTTACCATCTCCTCAGCTGGACCGTAACCTCCAAACCACGAACCCACTTTGATGGGGTTTTCCTGCGCTTCGCATTGATCTGGTTTCCATCTCCTCAGCTCCGTTCCTCACGCAGCTCACGCACCCAACGCTTTGCACGGCGATGCCTGGGGAGGCACGTTGCCACCAGGGCCGCAGAGGTAGAGGTTGCCCTCCTGTGGATCTGCTGGGCTCAAAGTCGGGGGTTCCCCCGACATGAAAAAAATATCCCTCTGGTTTTTCCATACACCAAAAGGAAACACAGACACACCACACAAAGGGCCAATAGGGGATCCCAAATCTATGGTTTCCTTTTGGTTTTCCATTTAACAAAAAAAAACAACACGCAACACAAAGGGCCCCCTCAAAAGCAAACACACTGCTATTTTCCTTTGCCACATCCTGGAATTGACATGGAACACTCCGCACCCGCATGCCCAGCACACAACCTTGGCCCAATCCGGGGTCAACAAAGTAATACGTTCAGGTTCTCGTCCATATTTAGTTCACCCACAAGTCTATACCTGGAGTCTCCATGACCCTTTAAAAATGGTTGGTCATTACCCAAAATAAAGGGGTCATGGACCCATTCTTATTTCGGGTCATGGAGACTCCAGTTATCATCATTTTGGAGGCCCAAGATCTCAGGTCCTTCTGGTGGATCAAGTCATAGACCAGCCTCAAGCTCCGTGAGACGCGACACAAATCAGCATTTGGCTTTGCTCCGGACCTCATAGCCAAGGCCATATATCTTGCTCCATTTGCGTTTTGGTCCCCTGGAAAAAATAACATATGTCCAGCAGTGATAGATTCCCTTCAAAATTAACAGGGGAAAATCAACCATATTCTTGTCTTTATTTGAGGGTACCCTTTTTGAGGTTCTAGGAAGAAAACCAAAGGGGCCCCACTTCCTTTAGGTACCTCAGCTGCCTGTACGAGTGGATTGCCGCGAGCTCGTGTTGAAATCGAAGCCCTTCAACACGAAGCGTCCAAGGAGCTGCTTCTGCTGCTGCAAACGGTGCGTCACGTAGATCTTCTCCTCAAAATCCGCTGCTTGAAGGATTTGGGTCAGTTGCATTGACTCAGGCACGATTGAAATAGAAGTTGGGACCCTCAAAACTCAATCAACAATTGGACAGCCCCATCATTGTGGGGCAATAGCCAAGCTTACAGAGCTTTTTGCGGGTCCACGTTCAATTTTTCTCTTGCTCTAGCTCAGTTTCCCACAGATGGACACGTTGACTTTGTTTCTGGTGTGCTAACAAGCTCCTGGTTGCTTAATGGGGAGTGCTCCATTTACGACGGAACCCTTTGCGGCGGGATACCAATCCGGCGTCGACATTACTTGGGTCCATGTTTACGACAAAGAACAACATGGAACGGGCAACATCCCGGCATTAATGTTCATCTGCTTTGCCTTGCAAGCGAAATCCAGCTGATCAAACCATGCTTACAACGACACCGATCCCACGATTCTTGGCCCAACTCTGAACAACAAAAAACATATGTTAAGATTCTGCTTCATATTTAGTCTACCCCAAAACCTTCTATTTGCTTTAGCCCCTGGAAAAATATTGAAAACGCATTTCCAGTAGTGATAGATTCCCTTCAAAACCAATAGGGAAACATCAAAACTATATTATTTTCAGCAGATGGAAGAGCTCTCTCATAATTTTGGAGGAGACAAACATGTTGTTCCCTTTCGCTAGACACATGTTCGTTTCAAGCAGTCGTGAAGGCGAGAAGGCTCCTTCTGCTCACGGCTCAGAGCCAAATGGATGTCCGTCAGCACGCCCTCCTTCTGGTAGGCATCCTCAGATGTCAGCACTCCGCACGTTTTCGACCGGCTGCGACGGCTCGAGGATAGGACAACAGGAGACTTGACACTTGCAGAAATGGGTTTGTCTGAACAGGGGCCCCAATGGCAAGGGGCTTTCTTTTGGTTTCCCTTGAAAACCACCCCATGGCTACCAGCTTGGCCAGAGTGGCAAACTCCGCTTCGTAGCTGTACTCCTGGCAAACAATCAGAGCCATGCGAGCCAATCCAACATACAAAGTGGAATCCAAAATCACGTCCCAGAAAACGTAGGGCGAATAACTGTCATTCACAAACCTGACATGAGGAATTCCAAGTTACCTTCATTGGTGAGCTGGCTTTGCCCCACGGAAAGTTTTTCATTTGCCCAAGTTTCACAACCTTCCAGTGAGCGGCACCCAAAACCATTGGCTTTCGCTCCACCAACATGCTTCTAGGATACCACTTTAAACAAGGCCAAACACATGGTATGTTCCATGCCGCATTTCAGGGCCCTTTCTCGCTCCAGCCTGCCTTTGACAAGGTCGTGGTGAACCCTTTTTCCATGCGGGCCGAATGCATTGTTGAATGTGTGAACTAGCAGATGGTGCAACACATGCGAACATGAGTTCGTGGAGTTACCTTTGAAGTGCAGTGACCCCTGAAACACCGAGCCGCCGCTGCGCCGCGCCGCGCCGGCCGGGTTTTTCAGGGGTCCCCTGGTAGAGGACCCCCCGAAAACACGAGAAGCTTGGATGCTGAGTGGCTCCAAGTGGTCTCGTGTCAGCCATGCTTGGGCCAAACAAACTCCTCAGCCCAAACGGGTCAGCTGCAGCCCTACCAAAAACTCCACTGAATGCACCGGAGAGCAGTTTGAAGCTTGGCCTTGATGAATGTCTCAATGGCCTCAGGTCTGCGGCCCTGGCTTATACTGCTCTACTCAACATTTTGTTTTTCTCACGAAACCCGGGTAGAACCACCTACCCCACACATTCGCAAGCGAGATCGAATCCCGAGTAGAACCACCTACCGAACACGGCCCTATGTGGAAGCGGTGCTGGCTGATATGATATTGGAGGTCTCCTGGCGATTGCGAGCGCCGAAGAAGAGAGCCATAGGCCCACACTCCTGGCACGAGCAGACGAAACATGTTTTGGTGCTGAGGGAACGGGTCTTGGGAAAGAACAAGCGGAGATTCCCGAAAGGAAATTCAAATCGGGGATGGTTTTTCTTGGGGTCATTTCGTTTCTCATTCTCTGAGAACCAAGAAGTGAATTGGGTGTGAAAAACAATTCGAGACCATTCTGAGGTCATTCAGGTGAGGATTCGTGTCTTTCACCTTGGGAGCAGCTTGCCACATGTTATTGCCTTTGTTTTCTCTCTCTATCTCTCTCTCTCTCTCTCTCTCTTTTGGGCCCCGTTTTTTTTTTGGGTTGTTTTAAATTACTATTATTATGTTTTCGGGATCAAAGCACTTCAGGTAATCAAACCTCACCTCATGCCAGGAATTGCCTGTCAAGGCTGCGCCAACTACCTGAGCCTTGCTTAGGACACCAAACGGATATACATATATATATATATATGCATATATATAATGTATATATATATATATTAACAATAATAATAATAATAATAATAATAATAATAATAATAATAATAATAATAATAATAATAATAATAATATTATATATATATATCCGGAATTTGTTGTGTCAGCCTGCTTTGACACATACCCTTGTTTCAGCCCTATCGAGGCTGAGTTTCAATTTTATAGACATCATTTGCAGGTCCACCAAGCAATTTTGAGATTTCCCAATTAACATGCATGGCTTCAACAGCATCCCCGTCATTCCCCGTCTGCTTTTCCCGTGTTCAACGCGACGTCGAACAGCCAGGCCGTTGGTGGTCGATTTCTGCCCAAACCCCACCCAACTCCGCCTCACCGTCCCGCTTGGCGGATGCGCGCTCCTCACACGGCACCCATCCGAGAATCAACTTTACAAGATGCGAGGTGGGCATGAAACTAAACACTGGGTTGCCCTTCTCTCCCAGCAAAAGGTCCAACTACCTTTACGAGGTTTCATGGAAAGGCCATTGTTTCCAAAGAGATCTACGGAGCTATCCGGTCACACCAAGGACCAGATATGAATAGGGAACGGTTTGGTGCATGTCCACCACTTTTGAGGTTCCATGTCAGGTACGGTCAAACTATTAGACGCCCATGGACATGGACAATATTACGAGTCCAGCAATATCCCTCCGCTAACACAGGCAGTATGCTGACCGAACCTGACATGAATACAATTGGTGGCATTCTTTGGACATTTACATGCGGGCGTTTGTCCATTTGAGTGGTTTCGGGGTGTTCATGTGATTCTCTTGAGCACAGGAAGACCGTCTGATCTTCCGGAAAGGGCTCTACGGGTCAAAAGGAGAGCTTGGTACCTTCCGCCTGCCTCCTTTCAAAAGGGATACCAATAAGGAGAACCGAATTTTCTTGCTGGTGCGATAGGCAGGGAATGAGAAATGGAATGACCCTGATAAACCATCCCTTATGGTTTTCTGTAAGGAAATCCCTGGACTCATTCCCAAATTTCGCACTCAGCCGCAGCAAGGTGTTTAGTTTTGACAATGCCCAACCAAATGGTTGTGACTCAAAATTAACCAGGAGGGGCAAACCGCAGGTTTTGTTCCATGTTTCCACTCAAGGCAACCCATTTTGGTATTCCGGTGTTTTGAGCCACTGCCAAATCGCCTTCAAGGAAAGACCCCTGTCAAGCTCGCTCCTCAATGAAGGCTCGCATGGGGGCAATGCCAGTGCCCAACGCCACCATGAGCATGGGGGTGGTGTGCTTCTCTGGCAGAGACACCTCAGATCTCCGTGAAGTTTCGACTCCCCTGGTTGGTGAAGCCAAAAGGAACGAAACCATTTTACGGGACTCTGTGATGCTGCAAGGAGATCCTTCCCCATAAATATGGCTGAATTGTTTAACGGCACCCTTTTCGGGGTTGGTTTATTAGGAAAGCAACAATAACACCATTTTCTGTGGGGTTGTTTGAGACACATCCACATTCAACATGGTCGAAGTGACATCTACGCGACCCCTCGCACAATTGTGGGACGCACAGGATTAGCTGAAGAAAGGGGCAAGCCTTCCAGCCAAAAATGATGTTCTACGGAAAAGCCATTCTTCGAAGGGAAGGAACACAGAAGTCAACCAAGGCCAATTCACACCGGGTTCCTATCGCGGCAGGCTGCCCTGATGAGACCCAGCGCATGCTGAATGCTCCAAGGTGCAGCAGAGGGGTGGACGCAGGCATGCACGCCGATGCTGCCTGCCTCACAGCTTCCCTCTTGGCTGTTTCGCTGGGGCGGTTTGGATGTGATCGATATTTCGAAAGGACCTGAAACGTTGTTTCCTCTCAGCAGTTTTGGCGCCGACTTTAGATAGATACTTACAGGGGCAGGGCACTTGGTATGGTTATAACCATGGTGAAATAATCCACTGAACGGCCGCAAACCACCGATCCAATCACCAACGGAGAACTTGATCAACCCAGCAAGGGCCAAGAACAGCGTTTTGCACTGCGTTTTGCACCTGGCTTCTTGTGGCTCCCGCTAGAAAATCAGGAAGCAGCCAAACTGCACAGCTGTAAAAAAAAAACAAGAAACCTCGGTTCAATATCCTGATTTCAGTTGCCCTATTGAGCCTGAGCTTCAACTCGGGGCGAGGTAGCGGACATCAGGTATGGGGATTTGTCAACCAGCCGTCCCTAGCTTGAAGCTTTGATCAAAAGGTCCCTTACATGGGGTGATCATGGGGGAAACCACCAAATAATATGACTTTCACCCGTGGGAAAAGTTACCCTTGATCATTTTGGGGCCTTGTTGGAAATATTGATCAACCCCCACATGCACAAAAATATGATTCTTCGCGTGCCTCCGGGTGCATGTCCTCGCACAGCCAGCGAGTGGACAAACCAGTCAGCTGCCTGCAAAACATCACATCATGCCAATGCAACTTGGGAGTATTATCGTGATTTGGACCCAAAAGAGCCGTAAACATGGGATGTTCGAGCAACATCCAATTCTACAGGGAAGTTTTTCAGGTGCTTCGATGTCCAGGTTCTCCTTTCGGCGCCTTGCCCAACCCTGTGCAAGAGAACTGCGCGACACTGTTGCTTGTCTAGGGCTTGAATGGGAAGCCTGTGAGCGCTTGGATCCAAATGCAGCTTGATGAGGCTGGACAAGCGGAATGCTCCCTCTGGGTTCGCTGGAAGGCGGGTGGCAACCAACTATTTAAAGAACTTCCTCGGGCCTCCCTTCAAGAGTACCAAATTTTGGCCGACTGTCTTGTGCCAGGACTCTTTTGGACACAAAGGGGTCATTTTGGCAACACGGGAGCACACAATGCAACAACTTGGTTGCTGTTGACCCCTCTCCAAAAGTGTAACTTTTTTCGGGTCCGATGGAAAATCCGCCGTTTCCCAAAACGCTTCAGTTCAAGGATTCAACCAAATATGCAATAAAGACTAGGTCCTCCAGTAGAGAGGTTCTAACAAGGGAACCCTAGTCTATTTTAGTAGGGGACCCCTCCCCCAAAAAAGGGTAAACGGGCACTACTGGGGGACCTAGAAGATAAGGCACCGGATTGCCCAGCCTTCCGCTCGTTGCGGTCCAGTCGTTCCGGATGATGCAGAGATGGCACTCGTCGTCCCCACGCATTCCTTTTGACACAGGCACTGCCGTTGAACACGCAGGTGCCATGTCCAATCCGCAGAAACACAAATGCTTGGTTTGCCAGTTGCTGCTTCTTTCCATCCACTTTAACCAACAAAAACAGCAACAGTGACTGAAAAAAAAGCAGCAGCTTGGCTATGGTGGAGATTTCTACAAAAAGGGGAACCCTCCCCCGGCAAACGGGCACTACTGGGGGACCTAGTTGGGGGCGCCGTTTCAAGGCTGAAGGCTACCCAAAAACAGCGAGAGACCCAGCTTGGCTGAAGAGCGCTGCCAAGCCGCGGGAAGAGGAGGCAATGGAGTACCTCAGAGACGCGAGGGGCCAATGCTCGTTTTGTTGTTCTTTCCAGGGTGGGGGGGGGGTGCCTAGAGTCTCCATGACCCTTTCAAAATCGGGTCATTGCCCAAAATAAAGGTTTTATGGACCCATTTTTCATGGAGACTCCAGGTACCTCTTTTGAACCGCTCAAAGGGCACCCAGCATTTTTTTTGGGGTTCCGAAACTTCCGATTTGGAGAGACGGCCTTTAGCATGGCCTTCTGGACAAATAGATGGCCCTGGTAAACGAAATGAAACCCATCTAAACCAGCGCCATCCATTTTTAAGCAAACTAACCAAGGACACCTAAGCCCTTTAGGCGAGAGTCTCACCCCGTTGGCTTTCATTTGCTGACCTAAGAGCCTCAAAGCGCTTCCTTACCACAGCTATCAGTGGCGCTCAGGCGGTTGGATGCAACGCATGGATGCGGCTGGTTTCCCCCAGGCTCCCAGGCTTCCGCCCGCAAAATAACTTGCCGGTTCTCCGGAAATGAGAAACGGAATGACCCCAATGGGAATCCCCAAACGGTTCCTTCCCAAAATCCTGGGTCAGTCCCTATCGCAGCAAGACCAGCAACCAGGTACCCCGGGCACTGTTTCGGGAGCTCCGAACCCCAAAAGCTTTCAGGGGCCAACACAGGTCAGAAGCTCCCCATGTGTCCGTTTTATTCACCCCACAAGGAATTCCTTGTACTCTTTTTCCCGGTAAAATCCGTTGGAACTGTACCTCTTTCAAGAAAACCTAACATAAATTGGCAACCAAAAGGTGGATGGTTCAAACCAGGTTCAACCGCCTCAAACTCTATGAGTTGCAGCCGTGGCACAAACGCGGCTTGATGTCGGGCACATAGTCCAGGAGGTGACCAATGTTGACCTGGCAATGGGGGTGTACTGCTCTGGAGGTGGTTTGAAAGGGAAGAACAAAAGATAAAATGACACCGACTAGGTTTGAGTTCCCTTTGACTTCTTCCCGTCTGGCTTGATGGAAAAGAAAAGTACAACTTCTTTGGTACAAGTAGTTTAGTGTGAAGAGACCTCCCTTCTAGCAAAAGAAGGAAAGAAGGCACCACTTGAGGTTTCGGCAACCCATTGCAATTTGGTTGCGCCTCTTTCTCAAGTTGCTTACACCACCAACGGGAGTGGATCTCAGCGAGCGATCACTCGGCCACTTCGATAGAAAGGACATGTGTCTAGATTGCATGGTTCGGCTTGCCAAAGCGATGTGTGTGTGTGGTGAATGGGCATGGTCTCTTTAGGATGCCTTCGAATGGTTTTCGACAATGCCTAACAGGTTGATAGTCCATCCTAAAATATCCTGAACCCCAAGCACCTCCACGCACCTCAATACGCTCTCACAAGTTGTATACCTCGTCCATTCAACTTCGGTTCATGACTTGCGTCAGGATTCTACCCCCTAAGGGCGCAGAACCCGAGGGTCCTCCGTGCCACACCCCGAGTTGCTTTCGGGTTGTCAAAAGGACAAACATCTGAGGCCCCAAATTGAGCCAGCTCCAAAACCAAAAAAGCTGCAAGCCTGGAACATCTCTGGAGCCTTCGTTTTAAAGGGTCGCCTGCGTTTGACAGGTTCTTCGGCCCCTGTTGCTTACACCCGAATGCATGTCCTTGAGGCGGAGTCTGCTGGGAATCTCTGAGTTCTACTGTCGGTGGGCGAAATCCTGCACCCAACAAACCCCGAACAAAATGATTCCGCCCGTAAATACCAACAAATCATGGTTTGAACAAACCCCGAAAAAATGATTCCCCCCGTACATACCAACAAATCATGGTGTCCACCATGGATTCATTTCGTGCGAGCTGGATTTGGCAACCATCCGCAGTATCAACTGCCTGACAGCTGGGGAACTTCTGCAGCAGCTCAGCGTAGGTGTAGCCTCCAGGGCGAAAGGTCGCCCTTGATGGGTGCCGTCGCGTCTCTTGAGGCTTGGGTAATTTCCCTTTCGGGGGGGTGACAAAAATCTAGGGATTGGAACCGAAATCCATTATGGGTGCCGTTTTGCCCCAAAAACCAGCAATAGTGACTGAAAAAAGTGGCAACTTGGCTATCTAGGTGGGTACCATTTCGGGGGGTTGCCAAGGAACATCTCCATGGATTGGAACCGAAATCCATTCTGTGCCCCTGTTTTGATACACGCCCGGAGTTCTCTCTTCACAAGCAGGGTTCCCTATTCCGATACAGCCCATATTTTTCTGTCTTCACAAGGGTTGTAGTTATCACAGTGGGACAAATCCCCTCGCCAAAACCCTCCTGGGCAACAGGTGACCGAGATCTGGAACTCCCAAAGAATCAACTTCAGGGGGATCCCTTCCCCATCGTTCCTTTAGCAGGGGAGTATGGCTTTGTGCTTTGCCTGACGCATTTCACCAGGCCCCGGGCTCTCGGCAGCATATGCCTGGCAAGCAAGCACAAAGCCCCTGACACTCGGTGACTTACGCTTTGTTGCTTGACCAAGGCGCCGGGCTGGACCGGCGCGTTGAAAACTGTTCCATATTTGCAGATGAACACAATGAGTCTCAACTGCATGGCACCATTTAGCCCTTGCAGCACGAGAGGGTTCCCAATATTGCAACCACCAAGATGCTTTTCACCACCAAGATCCAGCAATCCAGGACACATGGCAACTCTGTCACGATGACATATTAGAAGACACCAACCTGATCCAACTTGATTTTTAAGCCATGTATGTCTGATCGATGAGCTGCTGCTCAGAGGCAGAGACAACTATTGAGCTTGACTTTGAGGTCAGAATCTTCTTTCTCACCAGCGCACAAAAAAACACCTGGACCCTCACATCCAGCACAATTGGGTGACCCAACAAAACCTGGCCGGGGGGGGGGGGTGAAAACACCTACCCAACAAAACCGTGAGGTCTATAGCGGCAACTTGCTTCTTGGGTGGATGGGCAAACGAAAGTCCTATTTTTTTCTTACCACCAAAATGGTCCAACCCCAAAAAGTGACTCACAGACTCAGGGCTAGGTCCTCCAGTAGAGGTTGGAATACGGGTACCAACTTTCTTCTGTAGTCTATTTTAGTAGGGGAACCCTCCCAACCAAAAAAAGGGGTGGGAAAGGGCACCTAGCTGGGGTCCTAGAGGGAGCAGGCAATATCCCATGAAGTCGGATGTAGGTCCAAATTGGATTCTTCGAATTCAGAAAAAAACAAAAAAGGGGGGGGCAACATGATTGGGGGTCAACAGCGGTAACATGCCATAAACCCATGAAGTCGGCGTGGGTCCAGAAGGGACTCTCTTCGGGAAAAAAAAAAAGAAAAGTCCCGCCTGGTAGTCCTGCTTGCCCTCCTTGGAGCAAAGCCGCTGGAGCTCCTCCTTCGCCCGAGTCCGAAAAACCCACCGCGAGGTCTGGCTTCGTATGGGGAGAAGCAAGGATCAACACCCGTAGAAACAAGGAACAACACCTGTAGAAACAAGGAACACCTTTTCTTTTCCTTTTCTGTGTGATATTTGTGCTTTTTCTTTTGCTGGGTCAAGAGTTATCCACTGAGAGTGACCAAATAGAGTAAACCAATACTGAGACCGTGAGACCAAAGCAGGGCCCCAAGTGTAGGGTTGTCAAAAGTATGTCTAATTGTTGGATCCTGGAGATACCAAACAGTTCTCTGATTTTGACAAAGCCCCAAGTGCCCACACCTTGTTTTGCTGCACAGCCGAATTCCGTCTTTGATCTCTAGCCATCGAACGGCACATGGATTCTTCAAGAATCCCTCTTGGCATTCTGTACATGTCCAACTCATCGCACCCTGCAGCACTGGGCGGGGGGGTGAAGCCCCGTCAAACATGTGGCATCATGTGGCCCAAAATTTGAACCCAGGTGCGGCCCAAGGTTTTCCACGCCTGAGAGGTTTGAATCCCCCCCCCCAACCCCAATTGACACGGCTGATCTGCCAGCCTTCCAACTTTCAGGCAGGCTATTCCAATGTGCCATAACCGAAGCGAATCCTGAGTCAGAAGCACACAAGCGCACCCACACACATCCACAAAATATCATAACCACAATGAGTTAAACACTGTGGCAAGCTTCAGCAAGTATGCAACCCACCTCTCACTCAGTGCCTTACAATCACGACCACCTCAGAACCTGCTTGGACGTGGCTCTCATCAAGAGGGCACTCAGGTGTGCAGCGCCCGAAACCCAAGCTGACTCAAAGGTTCGACCAAGTACAAAGCTTACTGGCCCCAAGTTAAGGGAACCTGTAAATGGGGGGTTAAACCCCGCATACTTTCCCGCATGAAGAGGGTTAAAATGGAGGTTAAAGCATCAGCTGATTTTCAACTAGGTAGAACCACCTACCAAGATGGCCAAAATAACTCGGTTTCGGGCGCTGTTGAGGTGTGCTGCACACCAACGCGTTAACCGCCGCCAGACAAAAACTTCCTGCCGCGGCGGGGGCGGCCAAAAGTCCTCTACACGTCCCGCGCGGGATCGATCCGAATCCGCGCATCCGCGGATTCGAAGCCGAAGGCGCGTCGCTTTCAGCGGAGGCAGGGCCCGTCTTTGGGGCACTGCCGCAGATTGGGCAGCTCGAAGCTGAACACCTGAAACCACGGGCATGCAGCAGGATAGGGGCCAGGTCCAGTAGAGAGGTTATAAGGGTACCAACTTTTGTCTGTAGCCTATTTTAGTAGGGGAACCCTCCCAACCGAAAAAAGGGTGAGAAAGGGCACTACTGGGGGAGCTAGGAAGTGTCGGCTCATGCTCCTCCACTTGAAACTCATTCGGAGCGCTTCCCCAATTGAAACTAGGCCCACAAAGCAACTTGACGAATCGTGGAGCAATTGCAGTGCCAATGGCGAAGCATATCAATGTGCAAGGGACTCATTCGATCTGCGAACTGCAATCCCAGCATCGCCCCACAAAAAACAAGTAACCTGTGCAGAGTTGACTCAAAGGGATATATCAATCAAATGGGGCGCCCCCCATAAACTCTGGCAATATCCGTAAGCTGGGTAGTTTACTGGGGCAATACTGTGGGTGGACAAAATCCATTTCGCAGCACTGTTCAAAAACCCTGAAATGATTCGACTCACCGAAAATACCTACAAATAGTGATTTCGCTCGGCGGGCCTTGGCTGGGCTCCGTGTGACCACCAGCAACCGCGGCCTACAGGGAGACTTGTGACAGCACATGCGGTTCCCCAGGAAAGAAACGTCCCTCCCAGACCTGCAATAGACTGTGACAACGGCCATTTTGACCGAACCTCATATTAGTGCCCAGGAAAATGTACGGATTATGGGGCTTCTGCCAGCTTCTGCCAACTGCCATGGGCTTTTTTGGGAAGGGGTAGAAAATAGTTTACCGGCTGCATCAGAGTCAATTTGTTGCATGCCTACGAAGAGCGACCCACATGTTGCAACACAGCCTAGCTGCCACAAGTAGTTGTTGTGCAAAAACATTGCAAGAATGGAACACCTACAACAAATATCATTTCAGACTTTGTTTCATATTCAGGGTACCCTATATATATATATGTATTAAAACACAACTTGGAGCATCAACAATATTGACTTGCAGATTCTGTCATTCTATTTCATTTTTGAGGCTTCTCCAAAATATACACAAATTGGAGATCATCTTCAGATTCTTTTTCATACTCAGGGTACAACCGCTCCAATCTGTTTGGCCACATGTCCGCCTTTGCGCGGAGTCTGGAGGATGCCAGCTGGACAGGGCGCCCCACCTCAGCCAATGCCCAGCCGGAAGGTCCTCGAATCCAAGTGCCTAGAGCCGGTTGACCTTTGGTCGTACCGCTTTTTTTCCATAGGCCTGACTCTAACTGCTTGTCCTACAGTTTTCAAAGTTTTGTTTCTTAGTGCATAGGCCTTACTACGACCCCAAGTCCATGCAGGTAGAATCACCTACCAACATGGCCAACGGGGGTTTTGGGCGCTGAAATGAAACAACTCTGTGGAATCGCCTTTTCACCTTTCGGACTTCTGGATGTGCTGTATGTTTCGTCCAGGTCACAAAAGTCGCCCTGGAACTTCAAGGTCCCTTTTGTTGCAGGTGCTAAGTTCGATTGAGCCAATCTCTCCCGAGAGGCATCTATGAACAGCAAGCATTATATGATTCACGAACCCATCCAACAGGTGTGTTGTTACAGTCGGTTCTGAAACAAACACATATTGAAACAGAGAATATGATTTGTTGACCCAAAGGGCATGGGAACATTCGGGTGGGTCCCCCAATTTTTCTTGTGAGGATTTGGGTTTTCCTCCGTGTTGTGCTCCCCGAACGCACAATAGACTACCAAGAACTTTCTCTCTCTCTCTCTCTCTCTGACAGTGGCTCAGAAAGGCTTTCTGCAACCATCTATACCCCGCGGAGTTAAGGACCACCGCGAATTGCCAAAAACCACCGACAAGCATCAACAGGGGCTCCATCTTCCGCCCTCCGATAGTCAGCTCTCCGCTTTCTTGGCTCCGTGCACCACATCGTGGTCCGCATCGGGGCCGTCTGCAGAATCTACGTCTGGCAACCGCAGTACACGCAGCAAACGACCCAGCTCATCGTGCCTCAGGGCCACCCCCTTCACAATTGATCCCTGATTGCTAATTTATCCCTGGCCACTTGTGACGGGGGTCCTTGTTTAGTAGGGATCCTTTTTGTTCAGGGGGATCTCTCTGATTAATAACGGGCGGGTTGGGTTCGGGTTAATTTTACCATGATTTAAAGCCTTTTTTTGAGTTAAGGAGCCGTCAGAAAGTCGCCGCGAAGCGGCGAATATCAGAAGCTAAGCGGCAAGTCGATGGCATGTATCTCGGCGTGTCGGCCAGTGCGGTGGAAAAGAACGTACCTAAGGTCAAATCTGCCACGGGGCATGGCTGGCAATTTCCTCTGCACAGAACAATTTTCCACCAACGGCCAATTTACAGCTGGTTGCACCAAAGCACTTCGCCGCCATGCTCATGAGATGTTGTGATGAACGTGATCTTTAGTGAGCATGTGCAACAAAGGTTGGAGCAAACCAAACGTGGATGTGCTGTTAATAGAACATTGAAGACAAGTTGAATAGTATGATGCCGTGCTTTGTGGTTCATGCGCACAACAATCCATTCGTCTCCTTTTTGATGCATGCTTGTTGTGCTCAACTTGTGCGACCTGGCTCCTCCTCAGGCAACATCACCATCATAAACACATGACCATTAGTACTCTTCCCCAATAGTACTCTGCCCCACCAAACACCACTGGCTTGCGCAAAACATCACATACTTTGGATGGAGACAGCCCTGCGACAGCTGGCAGGTGGCTTATCCCAGTATTCATAGTGGCTCATCTATTGACGTGGCACGCAATTTTGCCATGTTGCTTTGCTTTACCTGATTATAGCTGTATTGTGAACCACTGCGCTTGTTCACTCGCCCCAGCCACGGCCAGCCAGTATTTCTGGATTCTTCAAAATGGGGGGGCCGCTAAGAAGCCACTACAACAGGAGTTGACATCATACTTTACAACTATGAGGGTATTTGGCAACCTGACAGTGGGGTGCTGGATTGAACCATTTTCCTTTTAAAGGTGCCTTTTCGTCCCGAACGTCAGGTTCCGGCTGTTGATTGGGAGGGTAAGGGCTTGATTCTGACCCCACCGCCGCGCCACAGAACTTGCTCCACCGGGTCAACGTGCAGTCCAGAGACGGCAGTGCCAGCACCGAACCTCGGACTCGCCCGGACCCGGGCCTGCAAGCTGGTGCCGCCGGCACGTGCCGGCTTCTAAACAGGATACCAACAAGGGTCCTCCAGTAGAGAGGTTAGAATGAGGCTACCTGGAGTCTCTATGACCCTTAAAAAATGGGGTCATTACCCAAAATAAAGGGTTCATGGACCCATTTTTAAAGGGTCATGGAGACTCCAGGTACCCACTTTGTTCTTTTTTGGTCTATTTCAGTAGGGGAACCCTCCCCTACTAAAAAGGTAAAAGGGCACTACTGGGGGACCTAGTTGACAAACCTTATAATTCAGAGAGCCGTGGCTAGTGACCGGCAGTCTCGAGGGGCCAAGGACATCCTCCCACGGCCTTAGGGCCCTCAACCAGAGGCCGCGTCAGTCAGAAAAACATGCTTCAAGAGTGTGACCTGGTCCTCGAGCCTATGGAAGCACATAGTTGCTGCATTTGCTTGTTTTTAACCATCTTTGTCTGGTGAATGGCACACACACACACACACACACACTCAGCCATGCGTGTGATACTCACCCGGACCAACTACTTTATCTTCCCACGACCATGTAATTAACTCACGCGTGTCGCACGCCTCATTATTTTTCCATGCTCAAAGTCACCCCCGTTCAGTGGTGGGCTAAAGGGAAACAACCAATCCCATTTTCTGACTTTAACGCCCAGAAATCGTCAAAATAATGACCCCAGTGTCAACGCCCAAGAAGCTTCTCCATGACCATCATCTCCGCCTGCACCACAGGCTGCGGCTCCCCCTTCTCGTCGTGAGCCCTGCAGGCCACAACCCCCAAATCGGCCTTGCTGACCACCAGCATGTCCTCGCCGAAAAATGCCATTTTCGCTTGCCACCGCTTGCCCGGAACTTGTCTGACTCGATTTTGTTGTCTTTCATTCTTCTCTGTTTGGGGGGGGGGGTGCAAACTATACATATCGACCCTGCTTTGGCTACCTTTGGGGGTATGAGACACATTCCGTTCCGTTCAACGCCCTGGATCGAACAAGATTGACACATGGCCCTGCTGAAAACCGGCAGATGGATTGAGCATCCCCAAAACTCTACAGTAGCCAGGAGAAGGCGCTCCTTTGCTCCTTTCGTTGATTAGACAGGTCTAGGAGTCTAGAGCATAGATCAAAACTCCATCCTATCTGTGCTACACGGATGAGACATGAGCACAGACTGCCCCAAACTTGTGAAAGCGAGCTTCTTGGGGTCACTGCAGGAAAACATCCAGTTGAGGGCTGAACCCGCAAGTGGGAACGGTTTGCAACTTTGGTTCCAAGCCCCGGCAATGCACGAAGAAGACACACAACGCGTTCGCATTCGAAGCCCGTCCAAGACAGCCCGTCGTCCGTCCTGCTGTGGCCAGTAAGCCAATGCCTCCAATTCACTTCGCAAGGTTGCGAAATCCATTTCGCAGAAACCCTGGTTTCTGATTCGATTCCCCGCTGCAAATACCAACAAACGTTTTGGTTTGACCCACGGTTTCAAAACTGGTGCGGGATTTTGTCCAACTACAGTATTACCAATCTCCCATTCCTGTTCATGGGGAGGGAAGTTTGGGGGGGGGAAGTTTGCAGTGTGTGTCGGTTCTGTGCAATCCGGAGATCCTGATAATGCCTATACATTAAAGGTTTCAAGTTACCCTCCCACCCTTTTCACAGCCGGAACTGTTCGACATTCGGGAAATGGTCCCTTTAAAAGGCACATGGTCCAAACCAGGACCGATTCCCCGAACGCCGAGCGGTTCCGGCTGTGACTGGCAGGCGCCTGCAGCGCCTCAGCTGCCGGATCCGTGGGATCCTGAAATCGGCATGGGATCTTGTTTCGGCCACGCCGGTTTCCATAAAAATGGGACACAAGGAACACCTCAAACTGAACTGTCAGGGGGACCACAGGAATTGCGGTCTCAGATCTCGGTTCGCTTCACCGAATCTAGGGATTTCTCAAGTCCTTTCTGAAACAGCGGCCAACTCACCTCGACAGCCTCGACCAACAACATGTCTTGACTTGGCAGAGGTTCTCAAACTATCCATCTGAAGATTACCTTCAAATTGGTGGCCTCACTTTTGCCCTGGCGCGAAAGGTAATGTTAGCCAAATTGTACCTGGAGTCTCCATGATCCTTTAAAAATGGGGTCATTACCCAAAATAAAAAGGGGTCAAAGACCCATGTTATTTCGGGTCATGGAGACTCCAGGTATATTAAGGAGCCAAAGCACCAAAAACCCAGCACCAAAGAGCACTCCTGAATGGAGCGCCCGAAGTGACTGGAGGGCAGCTGCCGCCAATGCAAGCGCGCCGTCTGCATCAAGGAGGCCACCGGCAAGTAAGTGACCGTGTCCCGGCCCGCCAAGGCGACACCTCAAATTGTTCAACAAGCCCAACCCCAAGCCCGCCAAGGCGACAAGTCAACCCCAAGCCCAACCCCCAGTTGTGTGTGGGTCATGATCATATATATATATATATATATATGGGGTCATGATCATCTATACATCTAGGGGTACCTTCCATTTCCATTCTTTCCAGGCATTCGGATCTTTCGAAACAACCACCCACAACCCTGGGGAAACAGCTGGCTTTTGAAAAGAACGATGGTTGAAACGAATGGGGAATCAACCCCTAGAAGTTTCAAGACAACATGCCGCGTGGCATTCGAATGGAAAGCGCACATGAGTAATAATCAAACTCGGTACAAAAATGGTGAACCCAGAACCATGTAAAGGATTAAGGTTGCGGCCGCACGTACTTGTGGTTGGGATCGCCCCTCACTAACCTTCATCTACCCGGGTTTTGATTGTGACTCACATGGTGTGTGCTCGATCATTTCACAACCGCAACAATGCTTAGGTCGAGCCACGCGCGAGTCAGCTTTCAAAGCTGTGCTTCACAGCTGAAGACTTAGGGACTCCGTGGGAGCCTTAACGGATATGATTTGGCAGTATCCCCCCAACTCCGATACCCGCGCTTTTTTTAAGGGTATCATGTCCCATGGCAAACCCAGGACGTCAACCAATACCCTGGACACAGTTGCTTGTGGGGTGTGTTTTTTGTTAGTGGACCCCAAAATGATGGTTCTCCCCCAAAAAGGGGGCACCAACTCAGCTAGGCTGGAATTAGGACCCCAGCAAAAAATATATTTGTTTTTGCCTGGTTAGTGGAAAACAAAGGGGACCCCAAAAAAGCAAAAAGGCAAAAAGGGGAGCTAATTCTGGGGAAGAAAAAGGGGGCACCAACTCAAAAGAGACAAGCCCCCTTGAAAAAAGACCCACGGCCAGATCCACCCGGCCATGACGCTGCTGTTGCCGAAGAAGGCGAGGTCCCCGATCTCCAGGGCCGGCAAGGTCGCTTCGCTCACCAGGCCTCGCGGCGATCCGCTGCTTTTGTTTTTCCCCTTTTTATCTATATATATAATTATTATGATTATTATTATGTTCCTTTTTTTGTACTTCGAGATGCTAAACACCAGGAACCCAGGCAACTTGCAGCCCCTGGAAACCACCACGATGTAGTTTCCCCACAAAAGGGAAAATGGGAACCCAGCAACCGACAAGGGTTTCGGGGATAGGGAAACCACCAGGAACCAAACTTACGGGGATCCCTGGAAACCACCACAAATCCAAGTTGAGAACAACAGTTGGAATGGTGATGAATAGTGATTTCCCTTGAAAGGATCGCCACTTTATGTCACTTTTGAAGGTTCCGAAACGGGAAATGGAGGACCACCCTGACTTGGAGAATCGATACTTTTAGAAACACCTACACAACCCTGTGAGTAAGAAGCAGTCGGTATGCCTAACGGTACAGATAGCACACACACACACTATCAGGGACATCTCAACCAGGAAATGAGTGGGGAATCGACAGTTAACATAGCTGCGCGCTTCTCACTATAAATGGGCTCTAACCCGTTCTGATACCCAAAACATTTGTCCGGTGCAAGCGATGGGAACTTCGTGCAGTGCGCGTCCCCAAGGCAACTGGCGAATAGGTTCCAAGGATTCCAAGGTGCATGAAGCTGCCACCCTTTGGAAGATTTGGCTCCATTTACAGAGGCCTTCTGGGAGCTTCCATGTTCAACCTTCACTTACCCGTTTTTTTTGTTTTTTTGTCCATGGGATTTGCAATTGTTTGAGAGCTCGTCCCCCACGTACCTCCCAAATGCATAGACAGGTCACCCGAATTTCGAGCAAGCCTCATGCGAGCCAAGGACGGTATGACAAGAGATTGGGGATAGTGCCCCCCCCCCATGTCCTCCCCAAATTATTTTACAGACCATTCTTCGTTCAGGCCGAGGCATGGAATTGGGGGGTTGATCAAAAGGTACCTGATACATAGGATGACCGTTGGGGGAAACTGCAAAGAAGATGATCTATCCCACATGGGAAAAGTGCCCCATGGTCAAACCTGCGGGCTGAAGCTCGGGAATACTGTGGGTGGACGAAATCCATTTCGCACCACCTAAGAAACCCTAAAATGATGCGATTCCCCTGTCCAACCTGGAGTCTCCATGACCCGGAAAATTGGGTTGTTTCCCAAAAACTAGACGACGAGTGGCCCGGAAGCATAGAGGCAAGTTAGTTGTTAGCGATCAAGTAGTCTAGTCGCGACAAGCTGCACACAGACAGATTCCGCTTTTTCTCAGTAGCTCGAATATGGCACTAAAAGTTGAGGAATGCACTTCTCAGTGCAGGTTCTCCCTGCTCATCGCGATCTTGCCCACCATCATGTCGCGCGTGTAGATCGAGTGGCTCGGCATGTGGATCTCGATGATGCATACCATGCTTCGGGCGGCTCCAACATGAACAAACAGGCAGCAAGCAAACTACCGCGATGTTTTTTTTTGCCGCGCTAGCTTGAGCCAACCACCAGGCGCGTGGCGCGGAAGGCGAGGCGGGGGAGAACCAACACCTGAGGCACCGTGGAGAAACCACCACCACCTGGGCGAAGCGAAACTGGAGCGAAGCTCCTGGACATGCAGGCAACTTACAAAGCGAGGTCTCAATGCAAATGCAGAAGTGTGGCACGGAGGTTGTTCAATCTGCTGATGTTGTCCGGCTTCACTCGGCTTCCCTTGGCTTCCCTCGGCTTCACTCAAGTGCAACAGCGCTCAATGAGCACACATGCTCAAGCATGTCATGTAGGTTGTTCAATCTGCTGGTGTTGTCCGGCTTCACTCGGCTTCCCTTGGCTTCACTCGAGTGCAACAGCGTGCAGGCAGCACAAATGCTCAAGCGTGTCATGTAGGTTGTTCAATCTGCTGATGTTGTCCGGCTTCACTCGGCTTCCCTCGGGTTCACTCAAGTGCAACAGCGTGCATGAGCACAAAAGCTCAAGCATGTCATGTAGGTTGTTCAATCTGCTGATGTTGTCCGGCTTCACTCGGCTTCCCTTGGCTTCCCTCGGCTTCACTCAAGTGCAACAGCGTTCAGTGAGCACAAATGCTCAAGCATGTCATGTAGGTTGTTCAATCTGCCGGTGTTGTCCGGCTTCCCTTGGCTTCCCTTGGCTTCACTCAAGTGCAACAGCGTGCAGGCAACACAACTGCTCAAGCTGCTGATGCGAGTTGTTCAATCTGCTGATGTTGTCCGGCTTCACTCGGCTTCCCTCGAAGAGCAAAACGTGGAGTCAGTGCAAGCGCTCAAGCATGTCACGCAGGTTGCTCAATCTGCTGATGTTGTCTGGCAGCAGCGAGGAAGATCGCAAAGCGCATGTTGAAAGATATGGCGGCTACATGCTGCGCGCGAAGCTGTGCGTGGCGCGGTGCGTGACGCTGCGCGCGGTGCTGCGCATGATGTGGCACATGATGCTGCGCGCGAGGCTGGTTCAATCTGCTGATGTTGTCCGGCTTCACTCGGCTTCCCTCGAAGAGCAAAACATGGAGACAGCGCAAGCGCTCAATCTGCTGATGTTGTCTGGCAGAGGAAGATCGCGAAACGCGTGTTGCAAGATGTGGCGGCTGCGTGCTGCGCGCGAAGCTGTGCGTGGCGCGGTGCGTGACGCTGCGCGCGATGCTGCGCATGATGTGCCACGTGCTGCTGCGCGTGAGACATCATGCGCGTCGTGGTGTTCACCAGTGCTGGCGGTGTCGTTCGTGTGCGTTTGTGGCGCTGGCTGCTGGCTCTGCCGGAGTTGTGCGCCCGCATACAAGCAAAAGCCCAGACCGCTCGCGACTCACTCGCATTGTTCTTGCTCGTCGCATGCGCCCGCTCGTTGCGCTCAGCAACAAGCCGTGCATCACTACCTGAGCTACTCATGAGCTATGCTACCCGGAGGACTCACAAAGAATCACGCGTGCCGCCGCGGAGACTGGAAGTGCCAAGGTCGTCCTTGAAGTCGCCGGAATCCGACCACCAAGATGCTCGTCCTCCCACGTCTATGTCGCGCCAGACTGGGATCGCTCGCGCGTCGGAAACATCCGCCAGCGCGAGCCAACCCAGATGACACGACTATAGCTGTCTGCAGTGCTGAGCCATCTTGATGACGAACGGTGTGGCAGCCCAGGCTGCGTGTCACGCACGAAGCTTTTGCCGGACTCGCCGCTCAAAAGCGCCAGAGGGGAAGAGATCGGACACGAACTCGCCCGGAGGACTCACAAAGAATCACGCGTGCCGCCGCGGAGACTGGAAGTGCCAAGGTCGTCCTTGAAGTCGCCGGAATCCGACCACCAAGATGCTTGTCCTCCCACGTCTATGTCGCGCCAGACTGGGATCGCTCGCGCGTCGGAAACATCCGCCAGCGCGAGCCAACCCAGATGACACGACTATAGCTGTCTCCAGTGCTGAGCCATCTTGATGACGAACGGTGTGGTAGCCCAGGCTGCGTGTCACGCACGAAGCTTTTGCCGGACTCGCCGCTCAAAAGCGCCAGAGGGGAAGAGATCGGACACGAACTCGGAGCTGTGCCAGCCAAGCTTTCTAACGTAGGACAGTGCCCTGCTCTCGTCCCGAAGCGCTTGCGCTTCGAACTGCTGCATCCTCTCCACCAGCATGGTGTTGTGGGCGTGCAAGTGCCCCTCAAACACGTCCCTCTCAGGCAAGTCGATGATCCACAAGTCGTCCAACTTGCGCGGGCGAGATAGCATGACGTACATCGCCAGGGCGTAGTCTGCGTCTTTCATCCAGCTGGGCCTGGAAAGGAAGGCCACGAGACCCCGCCGGGCAGTCACGCCCTGCAGCCCGTAGTGAGTCAAAACACAGCGAGGAGCCAGCGGCACCTGCTTGCGCACCACGCTGATCTTCTCCTTGCCCGCAGTATGAAAAGACCAAGCGTTTTCTGAAGATATGGCGCGGATGAAAAAGTGCCCGGGCGGAACGCCCTCATGCCCAGGTAGGCAGTAGTTCTTGTACTCCTCGTCATCTACTTCTACCAGCACTGCCAGAGGCTGATATGCGAGAACAACACACCCCTGACCCTCCGGGACTGGCGGCTCCTTCGGGTGCAGCTCTATCCTTCGAACGATCACGGGCAGCTCGCGTGTCAGCAAGGGCATGGGCAATATGCAAGACACGCGGGCAGGCATGCCCACGTAGAGAGGACACATGCCAAGCAGATATGACGTCTTTGTCATGTTCACGACCTGCAAGGCTGCGAAGACGTGGTCTCTGCTGAGCTGCGTGGGACCCGTGGGGCGGTCAATCGCCTGCGCGAAGTACAAAGTCTGACCGGCAGCTCGGGCCTCCAGCGCGGCCCTGAGCTGCTGCAAGCGGGCCACCTGCTCCCAGGCAAAGCCGCCCCAGTGAGCTTGGAGGAGCTGCTCGCGTGGACGCTGAAGTCGTGGAGGCCGAGGTGTAGCTCCTCGCTTTGACGGCTTGCCACAGCTCGTCAGACATGCGCGTCCCACTTCGCATGTGCTGCAAAAGCTGCACGAGCTGTCGCCCAGAAACGCAATCCAAGAAGCGACCTGTGCCGGTGAAGTGGACGACCCGCTGCAGCGACTGCTTGAATAGCAGGCGCCCCAGCTCGGACGCGTTGCTGACCTCACGGAAGACTCAGAGTGAGGCATGGCCTACATCCAACCGTGGAAATGCGTCAGACAAAAACACAACACTCAAAGCTCACAAACGCTGCCAAGCCCTTGGAGCCTCCTCCGAGTCGTCGTGCTCCGCGTCCGCGTCGGGGTCGGCCGAAGGCTCTGTCGCTGCCTTGGCCGACACCCACTCACAGAGCGACTTCTGCGTGGCTGGGCGCAGCTGCAAGAAGTCCGCCAGCTGGATGCCGATGGGCATCTTGCCAAACCACTCCTCCATGTACTTGCTCATGTCCAGGCCCAAAGGCTCTTGTCGCAGCAAAGAAAACCTATAGCCGGCCGCGTGATACACATCTGGAGGATTCATGGACAGCTCGTCCATCACCGTGGCAGA